CCTGCACTGTTTAAAAAAAGGGGGGGGGGGAAGAGAAGGAAAGAGAGAAACACCCATCGCTTTAGACAGATTCTCCGTGCAGGATGGGTAGGTGACCCTGGAGAGGCATATCAGAATCTCCCAGAGGAGATAGCGTGCTCAGGGGTGGAAAGGTGTACGGTTTTAAGTTTTAGTCAATATTACAATTGTACACTTAAAAACTCAAACCAACACCTAATTTTGTAATTTAAACAATAAAAAAAGCTCAACACAATCTTGACTGATGCAAATGCATAGGTGAGACCATGATTCTTACCTGGAGGCCTTTCCCAATAAGGAGCCTGACGTATCTGTGTTTCTGTCAGACATTCGTTTTTAAAGTTTGGGAAATACTGGAATATGGGCTAAAGTAAATTCCAAATCTTGGCCTCAAGTCTCAGTCCTAAACTCTGCACACAATGTTGTGTCAATAGTAAGGATACAGCCCAAATCACTGCCTCCTTGGAGCTTACATTCTGCGGGAGAAGGAAAACTGAATGAGCCGGTAAATTGTGTCAGGTGGTAATCGGTACAGTGGTGCCAGGTAAGCGGGAAAGGACGCCGAAGTGCCACGTACGGGACTGGGGGGCGGCGAAGGCCTCCCCAGGAAGGAGAGATTTGAACGAAGATCTGAAGAAGTGAGGGGAGGGGGTCATAAGGGTGTGTAGGGAAAATCCTTTCAGGCAGACGAAATAAAATGCATGGTATGCTCAAAACAGCAAGGTCTGTGTGGTCAGAGCAAAATGAGTGAAGGGGCGAGACGGGCTGGGGGAAGGTTTGAGCAGTGGGGTGACGTGATCAGCGTCCTTCTGGGTTGCTCTGCCTGCCCTGTCAGGAAAGTCTCGGGGCGCAGGAGGGAGCGTGGGACCCGGTGGGCTGGCGTCCTAGCCCTGTGAGAGTGGTGGCTGGGTCCCAGGTGATGGCACGGCGGGGCATGAGGCTGGTTAGACTGATGGTAGAACCAGCAGGACTTGTTGACAGATGGGATGTGAGAGAAGAAAAGGCATCTAGGAAGATGCAGTGGCCTAAGCCACTGGAAGAAAGGGCACATGCACTGGGGGGAGAGGCTATAGAAGACGTGTGTCCATGTTAGTGACTCCTGGAACCAGGTCCATCTCAATCCCTTAGGAAGTCCCAGCACAGACTTCCTCTAGTTTCATGCCTTTATCCCATCTTCCCTACTGGATTGTAAATGATTCCAAGGTCAGAGCAGGACTTCATTACGCCCAGAGCCCCTGGCCTGGGTGAGGAGGACAATACTATTCCACAAATTAATCACATTCTACGACTACTAGCGGAGCAGCCAGGGCCTTGGGTGAAAGTCATGACTTCACGCCCAGCCGGGCCGGCTGAGCATCGACCTAGGGTCCAGAAGATCACGGTTCGATTCCCGGTCAGGGCACGTGCCCAGGTTGGGGCTCGATCCCCAGCAGGGGGCGTGCAGGAGGCAGCCGATCAATGACTCTCATCACTGATGTTTCTCTCTCCCTCTCCCTTTCTCCCTCTGAAATCAATAAAGAATTTTTTTTTAAAAAAAGTCATGACTTCACTAGAAATTACCTTTATGATCTTGGTCAGATAACCCCTTTGGGTTTTGGTTTCCCTACACATGTAAAAATGTAAAGTTTCTATCCTCAAGAACAAGATATCGGACCCTTGACTCTGCTAAAGCCAGGAGCCCTACAACGCTACCCTCAAGTTGCTCACGGTCCAGCTAGAGACTGGACCAGAGTGGCCTGAGGATTCTTCTACAACTTCAGTACCCAGTCAACCCCAGAGTCCCTCCCACACCCTCCACCCCAGCTCTGTGTAGATAATTCATTTCCTTCAGTGGACCCTTCCTGACAGAATGCGCCCAGCTCTCCTCCAAAGCTCCACAGCTGGGACCAATTAGAAGCATTGACCTTGTTAGACCCCGTGAATTGTATTCTCTTCCTCCTATAATCCTTAGAGAAATAATAGAGTCCTAGTCATTAAAGAAATAACTGACAATGCAACAGCTTGGTCTAGGAAAGGAGCCCAGCACCCATTCTGCCAAGGTGGTGGTAAATTAATTGGGCAAGGAGACCATCAGACTGAGGTGACTCGTGCCGTGATGGTCTGCAAAAAAAAAAAAGGCTAAGCCCGTAAACATCTCAAGGTTATGAAATCAAACGTTAAGGGCCACGGATCACAAACAGCCAACTAGGCTTTAAGCTATACCAGCCAATTTCCTTTCTTCGCTCCTGCACCTCTGCATGTCTTTCCCCTGGCTTGTTAGGGTGAAGACCTCCTGTTCACTTTTGGTTTGACATTGCCCGATCCCAGCTGATTTTTGCTCACATCAACTCTGAAATTTTTTAATATGCCTCAGTTTATCTTTTAACAGTTCATAGACGACAAGCTGCCTTAAAACAGCAAAGCTGGCACCGACTCGTGAAGGTGATTTTTATCTGGACTCTCTAAAGGAGCTGAAGGGACTACATTCTAGTGTCACAGAGGATATTTGGGGTGATAATTGGCCCTTTCAGTGATCAAAGACGACGAGGCACAGATCCAGGCGTTGTCCCTTCCTCTGGCTGGCTTTATTTCTCATAGGAAAGCCCCCAATATTTATGGGGAACATGGGGGGGAATTAAAACCTGTAACCAATAAGATCATTTTGGGACTCAGTTGGCAGGGGTGTGTGTGTGTGTGTGTGTGTGTGTAGTTTAAAACAACTAAAAATGCTAAATTTCAAAAACACTTGTAGCAAGAAAGTGAAGCAAATCACTCCCTGTCTCTAACTTTCACAGCCCAGTGCCCTATTTACTTGTATCTTGGAA